AGACCCGGAGAGCGAGACCCACACAGGGAGACCCGGAGAGCGAGACCCACACAGGGACAGAGACAGACAGACTGACTGATAGAGACCCAGAGAGAGAGAGACTGACACAGAACGAGTGGGAGACCCAGAGAGGGAGAGACTGACAATATTTATTATATAATTATTAAGGCTTAAAATATATTCTAAGAGACCATATGCACTCGCCCCGCCTTGAATTTACGGCTCCAGGCTTTAAAAATGCAGCAGACAACAGCACAAAAATGTCTCAAACTGACGCCACAAAAACCCTGTGTGTTAAATATTGACGCGATGCAGGCGGACAGCGAGCGAGTCACTGATTTAATACAATCAAGTGGTTTCTATGACTACAGCCGTGCGCACAGGGACATGGCATTTCCCATGATGCACTGCTACCCACGCCGCCGCTTCGCTAATGGCTCCAGTCATTACACTGTGGATGAGAAGGCAGCTCTGAGAAGTGATCTCTCTCTCTCTGTCTCTCTGTCTCAGTTTCCCTCTCCGTCTCTCTCTAGCTCTGTCGACAGAGAAAGACTCAGAGCGAGAGAATCAGAGACATACAGAGAGAGGAAGACAGAGAGAGGAAGACAGAGAGAGATAGAGAACGCGTCAGAAAGCGACAGACGGAGAGAGAGAGAGACAGCGAGAAAGACAGAGACGGAAAGAGAGGGAGACAGAGTGAGAGGGACGGAGAGAGACAGTCTGAGTCCCTGAACCTCCCCAATATCATGATTAAAAACCAAATTGAACTTAGCAATTTGGTTTCCTGACAGTGATCATAGGGCCTCTGTCTCTCCTCTTTGTGTGTGGTGAACTCTGCTTTCTCTCCGGTCCCGGTGTCATCCCTGTTCCATGGTAACTGTATAAATAGCCGTATGGTGCGTCTTAAATAACCGGTCTCTCAGTGATTCCGCTCTCCTCCCACAATCGTCCAACTTCAGCCGGAAACGCAGCCAAAGGACACGATTAGTGCTAAATGCTGCCGATCTGCGAACCATCTCTACAGACATTCTCAGTCTGAAGACTCGAACTCTGACTGTGCTTTTGGAGGCTATTTGTTCAGGTCTATTACGGCCCAGATCAGCTCAGGTGAGGGAGTTAACGAAAGCCAATATTTTATGGTGAAAGTAATTTAACAACAGGGGTGTAAATGATAAGTTTACACAAATTAATTGGCAACATTCAAAAACAAAAATGGTCCCACAGAAAAACTAAATACAAATCCAACTGATGTCTCTCAACCATAGACTGTAAATAGGAACAGACTTAGTCACGCCTGTATGTGCCATCATATTGGCCTTCGGTTGGATTTTTCAAAATGGCAGCGGGGCAGGAAAATGTGAAAAAACACATTAGTGCATTCGTTAGCTGCACTAGCCCCATTCATTTGACGAGTGCATTCAAAAGTCCGACAAACAATCCTCCCCTCAGCATTTTGGGCCATCCTGTACAGCTGTTTTTGAGAGGAAAGAAGACGCCATGCCATGGCAACCTGGATCACAGACTTTCTGATTGGTAAAATGATGGAGGGCGGGACATCGAAAGATTAAGAGGCTGTAAAACTAATTTTTAAATTAAAATATTCCTGAACCACTGTTATCACTTAAAGAAGTATTGGAAAGGAGACAGATTAGGTCCCTTTAATGATAACTTGATGTGAAAATCCTACACATAGCGACTTTATTACTGAGTTTGCTTCCATGAGTTAGCGCAAATCTATCCGTGAGCACTTCCCTATTGGGCTACATTGAGCTAGCTGGTTAGCATTGTCAATCTCTACATAGTCTATTGACCCTGTGCATGTGACGTCCTGGCCACGCCCACTCTTCGTGACAGACGGCGGAAGTCTTAACTGCAAGTAGAGCTGCAACTAACTATTATAATAATCGATTAATCTGTCGATTATTTCTTCGATTAATCGGATAAAAAAAGCATTTTTAGTTTCCATCCCGTTATTAAAAAACGTGGCCTTGGATCAACACAAAGAAACGTACAAATGTATGCTATGCAGTATAAAGTAAAGTGCACAAAAACAGGTTTTGTTGTTTAACCCAAAGAGCAATTACAGACAAGACGCGTTTGTGTCATTACGTCATTTTTAGGGTAATTATACGTTGAGTGCATATACTCAAAAACGTTTGACATTTTTATTTCAAAAGGCTGTAACTTAAAAGTGATAGGAGATAAAGACTTTCTGTAAATTACAGAATTAAGGATGGCCAAAAGTTTTATGTAGGGAATAAGTGTACCCATCTAATTAGCATATTATGACGTCATATAGCGTTGGAAATTGTGGATTTTAGAATTTTCATAAAATGTGTCTTCCCTGCTCTCTCGTCCCTGTTTTCTCTCTCGTCTCCCCCGCGCTCTCTCTCATCTCCCCCGCTCTCTCTCTCATCTCCCCCGCTCTCTCTCTCATCTCCCCCGCTCTCTCTCTCATCTCCCCCGCTCTCTCTCTCCTCTCCCCGCTCTCTCTCTCCTCTCCCCGCTCTCTCTCTCCTCTCCCCGCTCTCTCTCTCCTCTCCCCCGCGCTCTCTCTCATCTCCCCGCTCTCTCTCCTCTCCCCCGCGCTCTCTCTCATCTCCCCGCTCTCTCTCTCATCTCCCCGCTCTCTCTCTCATCTCCCCGCTCTCTCTCTCATCTCCCCGCTCTCTCTCTCATCTCCCCCTCTCTCTCTCTCTCTCCCCCGCTCTCTCTCTCATCTCCCCGCTCTCTCTCTCATCTCCCCCGCTCTCTCTCCTCTCCCCCGCTCTCTCTCCTCTCCCCCGCTCTCTCTCTCATCTCCCCGCTCTCTCTCTCCTCTCCCCGCTCTCTCTCTCTCCTCTCCCCCTCTCTCTCTCTCATCTCCCCGCTCTCTCTCTCTCATCCCCGCTCTCTCTCTCATCTCCCCTGCTCTCTCTCATCTCCCCGCTCTCTCTCATCTCCCCCGCTCTCTCTCTCATCTCCCCCGCTCTCTCTCTCATCTCCCCCGCTCTCTCTCTCATCTCCCCTGCTCTCTCTCATCTCCCCGCTCTCTCTCTCATCTCCCCTGCTCTCTCTCATCTCCCCGCTCTCTCTCTCATCTCCCCCTCTCTCTCTCATCTCCCCGCTCTCTCTCATCTCCCCCGCTCTCTCTCTCATCTCCCCCCGCTCTCTCTCTCCTCTCCCCCGCTCTCTCTCTCATCTCCCCGCTCTCTCTCTCATCTCCCCCGCTCTCTCTCTCCTCTCCCCCGCTCTCTCTCTCTCTCCCCGCTCTCTCTCTCTCATCTCCCCGCTCTCTCTCTCCTCTCCCCTCTCTCTCTCTCCTCTCCCCCGCTCTCTCTCTCATCTCCCCGCTCTCTCTCTCATCTCCCCGCTCTCTCTCTCATCTCCCCTGCTCTCTCTCATCTCCCCGCTCTCTCTCATCTCCCCCGCTCTCTCTCTCATCTCCCCCGCTCTCTCTCTCATCTCCCCCGCTCTCTCTCTCATCTCCCCTGCTCTCTCTCATCTCCCCGCTCTCTCTCTCATCTCCCCTGCTCTCTCTCATCTCCCCTGCTCTCTCTCTCATCTCCCCTGCTCTCTCTCATCTCCCGCTCTCTCTCATCTCCCCGCTCTCTCTCTCATCTCCCGCTCTCTCTCTCATCTCCCCTGCTCTCTCTCATCTCCCCGCTCTCTCTCATCTCCCCCGCTCTCTCTCTCATCTCCCCCGCTCTCTCTCTCATCTCCCCCGCTCTCTCTCTCATCTCCCCTGCTCTCTCTCATCTCCCCGCTCTCTCTATCTCTCTCATCTTCCCGCTCTCTCTCTCATCTTCCCGCTCTCTCTCTCATCTCCCCCGCTCTCTCTCTCATCTCCCCCGCTCTCTCTCTCCTCTCCCCTGCCCTCTCTCTCGTCTAACACCAGACAAAGTCTTCTCCAACACGTTACTGTCCCGGTGATTGCGGGAGGCACGATAAGACATCTGTGGGAGGCACTATTTGCGGAGATTTTACCGGAGACTAGCAGAGGCTGGAGTCGCGGCGCGGCGCCCCTACGTGACTTCCAGGCTTCTTTGCCGCAAATCTAACCTGTCTCCGAACCTCCCAGTGACAGCCCTGACCCTGAGAAACACTGTTCCCACTGACTCTGTGCAAAGTGTCTAAAGTTAGTGCGGTACAACACTCGCACGCTCCCTTCGCGTCACTATTCTGCACTGGTTCAAAGCGGTCTTGCTCGAATGAATACCTCCACCATAGACTGTATGACCACCTTCGCCACACTCTGCTCTTCTTCTGTGGAGTTTTACGGCAGTGTGCATGCAGTGTTGTGTAGTTCTGTGGTGCATGTGCGTCCGTCCGCTCAACCATAGAACTACATGAATGCGCCCAACTCGCGCGCTCGGTGACGTATTAATTGCGCGACACAACGAATCGATAACCAAATTCGTTGCCAACACTTTTAATAATCGATTTTTATCGATATTATTGATTCGTTGTTGCGGCCCTAATTGCAAGCCGTTGGAAACTTGACCAAAACAACCTGTTTCACCGAATTACACCCAAAACTAGGATATTCTGCAGTGCGGTTGGTTGTACTAACAGACAAGGACATACGCCAAATGTGTTTTTTTATCTGATACCTGCTCGTCATGAAGACAGAAGACGACGATGGCGGCAATCAACCAAAAGGACTGGGAGCCGTCCAAGTACTCCTGAATTTGCAGTGAACCAAACAAATACAAGATAAATACAAAACTGTGATTTATTTATTTTCTTTCCATAAATTTATTTGGAAGACAATGACACAACGAACGCTTGAAGTCAAACGTGTCTCTTACTACTGTCCTATATGTGCGCTGCAACATTGACATTTCCTCACTGTGGCACAAATAAAGGATCTCTTATCTTGACGTCAGTTGCGTTTTTCACTATTTTCCTCTCCGTCAATATGTATCTTGTTTTGCTGTAGACAGAAAAGCAGACTATTGCTAATGTGCTAATGCTACCAGCGTTTTGTCTTTAAAACCAGTTTCTCTTTGTCTCCTCAGACTCCACCTTCTTCCCCGGCCGCTGCGCTGAGATCTTTGTGCGCGGGCAGAGTGTGGGCCGCCTCGGGGTCCTTCACCCGGACGTCATCACACGCTTCGAGCTCACCATGCCCTGCTCTGCGCTGGAGATGGACCTGGAGCTTTTCCTGTGAATGGCTTTTTCCATCTATGTTTCTGTGGAGAGAGATTCAAAGCTGGGGGACATAAATTTCAAAGTGCTAAACATTGAAGGGTGTAATAACTGGTTGGTTCCCCTCTCTTGGTCTCTCTCCTTGTCTAGCTCCCTCTCTGGTCTCTGGTCTTTCTCTCTCCAACTCTCTGGTTTCTCTCTCTCTCCCTCTCTGGTCTCTCTCTCTCGCATGAACTGAGGATCCAAATTTGACTCTTCTGTATGTTTGGCGTTCAGTCTCTCTCATGTTTTGTGTGATTTTTACATATTCCTGATGAGGCGCAGGAGAATAAAAAAAAAAAGAATTATACAAAAGTATCACATGTCACTTTGTCTTTGAAATATTGCAACAAATCATTTTCTGAGATAAGGTTTCTGTTGATAAAGGTTTTGGCCTGCGCCCCATCTGTTTTATGAGTTTACAGAATGTTGTGTTTCATCTGAAACAATAGTGGCTCCATAAAGTAATGAGAATAAAATATATTTGAACTGAAATGATAGAACAGGTGATCAAAGTCTGAGGCGAAGATGAAAGAAGAGAGAGACGAAAGGGTTTTGATACAACAGGGGCCTCGGACTCATTTTGGTCCAAGGCTGGAAGTATAAAAGTATGAAATGGTCCTGGTAGAGAGAGAGAGGGAGACCAGAGAGAGACACACAAGAGAGACCAGAGAGGGGAGAGACCAGAGAGGGGAGAGACCAGAGAGGGGAGAGACCAGAGAGGGGAGAGACCAGAGAGAGCAATACCAGATAAAAAAAAAAAAAAATTCCGATTATGATTGCGATGAACATCACTACAAAGAGTAACACAAAAATAAGTCAGAAATTATTTAAATTAGACGAAAAAATATCTGGATTTGAGAAAAGTTTTATTCCCAACTCTCTGACGTCTCATTACCTTTTGGCTGCTTGTGCATGAACCATTTTGCCGCATGTTCTTTTCATTATTAACTTTGATTAAACTTGAATAATCCGTGTTGTATGTTGTGCTGCATCCGTCATTCACCTTTTCTCAATCTTCTCTAAACTCCGTTATTTCTTTGTGTTTTGTTGCCTTGGTTTCTGTCCCTCAGCGGCAGAACGACTGAGACCTTCTTGTGCCACGACGTTCCATCGCGAGAATTCAAGAATCACCAGTTCTGTGCCAACCCTTCAGCTTCTCCCAGTTCCACCAACACCACATTCGGAGACTTGAGCACCACCGCCGGCTTGAAGTCTTTGAACGATTTTCTCTCCGACAAAAGCTACATCGAGGGATTTTCCGCCACGCAAGCCGACGTTACGGTTTCTCAAGCAATTCCCGGCGCCCCACCAATAAGTTTCTGCCATCTTTATCGCTGGTACAAACACGTAAAGTCTTTTGGGAAAACAAAAACGAGTCTCCCGCCATCCAAGAAGCAATACGTGATTCCCGACGCGGATCAAAGCGAAGCAACCGAAAACTCTCCAAACGATGACTATTTGGACTTTTTCGGATCTGACGAAGACGACGAAGAAGCGGAAAGGCTCAAGCGAAAACGCGTGGCGGATTACGCAGCAAGAAAAGCCAAGAAACCGGCTCTCGTGGCCAAGTCGTCCATCCTCCTCGACGTCAAACCGTGGGACGACGAGACCGACATGAGCAAGATGGAGGCGTGCGTCCGGAGCGTGGAGATGGACGGGCTGCTGTGGGGGCAGTCCAAGCTCGTGCCCGTCGGTTATGGCATCAAGAAGCTGCAGATTGGCTGCGTGGTGGAGGATCAAAAAGTGGGCACGGATTTGCTGGAAGAAGCCATCACGGCGTTTGAAGACTTCGTGCAGTCCGTGGATGTGGCAGCGTTCAATAAGATCTGAATGTGTTTTTGATACAATAAAGGATGAATTTCACTTCTGACAGAATAACTTTTTATTTTCCCATTCCAAGGCAGACTTTGTATCTCTGTTCTTATTAGAGGTGCAGTAAAAGATGTTAGCTTAGCAGTAGCCTCCGAGTCAAAACCACTCCCCCTCCACCAAACGCCATTTCTGTAATAATGCAGTCATCCATCCAGCCATTTTCTTCCCCTTAATCCATTTCTGGGTTGGGGGGTGGCCGTCAGAGTGGTACCCAGTACACATAGCACCAGCCCCTGATAATGCAGTCTTGAAATGGGAAACTTTACACCACATCAGGGCTCTGGTCTGTAAATGATTAGCCGCTATACTTGGCAAGTGCTAGCTTCCCCTAACAAATTAGCAATTAGCAAAACACGACTGCCTGCTTTACATAACCCTGGCAGCATCCAGGGTCTTACGCCATGTCCTCTGAGTTACTCTTCTTTGCCACAAAAAAGCAAGTGGCAAATGTGAAATTGTCACTTTTGGGGTTTTTGGTTCAGCCGCTGAAGGTGTTTTAGAAAGTCCTACTCAATAACAACTCCGACGGATGTGAGCACTGAGGAAAGGCAGGAGGGGAGGGGAGGGGAAGGGGGGGTCGCATCCCACTGGTTTATTTCTATTGGTCCGCTCCAAAATAGTGTTTTATCTTTTGAGGCTGCATCTGGTCCATTCCTATTTGAAAACCCATGAAAACTTGACTTTTGGGTTTTAGGGACGTTTCCCACATTATTTAAAAAACGCATCTGGAAAAATCAGTGACTGCATCTTTAAGATAAGATAATATAGTTCTACATACATCGGCGTGATTTAATAAATAAAAAAATATTACAGAAAAGTGCAGTAGCTTTGGTCCAATTCTGCATCAACATAAAGACTGGATCCTGAATAAAAACTGAAATAATTCAAACATTTCCAACTTGAGTTCAGTTTGTTTATTTGATCGTTCACTCTGGGTTTTTCTGTTAAATGTAAATCAATATAGACAACTCTGATGAACTAAAGTTTCTCTTCCTCTAAAGTTTGGACACCCTCCTCTGTCTGGTGATGCTGTCAGACCGGCGGGGGTGCATTCCTCCAGGTGCTACGGTTAATCCTCAGTCTGTAGTTGAGAAATCCAGAGTTGTGTAACGAGACGGGAACCGCCAGACTTTAGACAAAAGGCTTCAGTGAGTCATCTTTCTGGAGCCAAAGATTTAACAAGTATATTTTTCAGATTTTAACAGTTTTAGTCACAGTTAGGCCAAAGTTGCGACATTTTAGTGATTGTAAAATGTTCTTTACCTTTATGCTAGAGTTATTTGAAAAGTATATGATAGTTGGAAGATTTTCTACTTCCGGGTGATCATCAAGACTATTGGTCCTCTTAACTGTCAATCATTCTGCTGATACATGCTCGTCCAATAAGAGCAGAGAGATTAGTTTAAAAAGTGGAGAGGGCGGTTCTTTCCTAAACTTTGGAAAAATCCTCCTTTAAACCTTTGACAAACCTGGACGTTCTCAGTTAATGTATTATTCAGCTCTTAAATTGCCTCAAGATGAAATGTCTATTCTTGGTCTTGGATTTTTTCATTTTCCCCAAAAAATGCCACTTTTCCCCCTTTATTATGCATTTTCGGCTGGTGCAACTTCCAATCTGAAAAAATACGGTAATAAAACGTATGTTATATGTTTGTTGATAGCAAAGTGATAAAAGCCAGACATAAAAGACACAAGACATAAAATTTTAATGTATTATTTTTTTGGTTGGGACAGTGCCATGAACCTGCCACTCCGGAGCACCTGGAGGAAACCTACACGGACACAGGGAGCACAAGCACGAACCGTTGCACAACCAGTTTGTTCATCCCTGACATAAAATCAATTTAATCAGTCTTTACTCAGAACATTTTTTAACAGATTATTAAATATGAAAACTAAGGGAGGACTTATTATCTTTAGTAAAAATTCTCTTCAACATTTTATAGAAACTGCAGAAACAGATAAAGACACAACATAAAAGAAGAGAAGGAATCAAAAAGAAAGATATCCAACAATTGCATCGTGAGGGTTTGAGATTAGATGTTGGCTTCAGCGTCTACAAGTATCATGAGAATAAACAAATCCACCAGGAGCCTCTCAGGAGTGAAGAGTCTCAGGTCTCTCTCTGGTCTCTCTCTGGTCTCTCTCTGGTCTCTCTCTGGTCTCTCTCTGGTCTCTCTCTGGTCTCTCTCTGGTCTCTCTCTGGTCTCTCTCTGGTCTCTCTCTGGTCTCTCTCTGGTCTCTCTCTGGTCTCTCTCTGGTCTCTCTCTGGTCTCTCTCTGCTCTCTCTCTGCTCTCTCTCTGCTCTCTCTCTGCTCTCTCTCTGCTCTCTCTCTGCTCTCTGGTCTCTCTCTGGTCTCTCTCTGCTCTCTCTCTGCTCTCTCTCTGCTCTCTGGTCTCTCTCTGATCTCTCTCTCTCTCTGGTCTCTCTCTGGTCTCTCTCTGGTCTCTCTCTGGTCTCTCTCTGGTCTCTCTCTGGTCTCTCTCTGGTCTCTCTGGTCTCTCTGGTCTCAGGTCTCTCTCTGGTCTCTCTCTGGTCTCTCTCTGGTCTCTCTCTGGTCTCTCTCTGGTCTCTCTCTGATCTCTCTCTGATCTCTCTGGTCTCAGGTCTCTCTCTGGTCTCTCTCTGGTCTCTCTCTGGTCTCTCTCTGGTCTCTCTCTGGTCTCTCTCTGGTCTCTCTCTGGTCTCTCTCTGGTCTCTCTCTGGCCTCTCTCTGGCCTCTCTCTGGCCTCTCTCTGGCCTCTCTCTGGTCTCTCTCTGGTCACTCTCTGGTCTCTCTCTGGTCTCTCTCTGGTCTCTCTCTGGTCTCTCTCTGGTCTCTCTCTGGTCTCTCTCTGGTCTCGGTCTCCCTCTGGTCTCGGTCTCCCTCTGGTCTCGGTCTCCCTCTGATCTCTCTCTGGTCTAAGGTCTCTCATCTCTCTCTGGTCTCGGTCTCTCTCTGGTCTCTCTCTGTTATTACTGCATTCCCTGTGTTCTAACTTCTTAATTCTCTGATCTGTTATTGACTCGAGTCCACATCTTTGTAAAGTCCTCAAAGGCGAATGCTGTTGTGATTCAGAGCGACACCAAAACACTTTAAACTGATCTAAAACGATCATAGCAGCCCCATGTAAACAAAACCTCTATTCACCAGTATCGAATTCACCAAACCTACACACGTGTACGTCACCAGCCTGTACGGCACTTCGATCTCTCTCCTCTTTCTCGCGTTTACATCCCATTCCGGAACTTTGTAACGCCAATACAGCACCTTTAAACTCAGATATTTCACTGTTTGCCTCGTCCCGACCAACGCCATCACTCCCAGCACGAAGCGAAGAGTTCCAAAGGCGAACGAAACCGTAGTTATTTGAGGTAAAGCCACCGGTAAGAGTTCGGTTTTGGGTTCGAAGGTCTCGCCGAGCTGCGCGTTGAGCCAGTATCCGAGCCAGCAGCCGGTGAAGCAGCCCAGGACCGTGGTGGTGTCGCCGCGGGTGGAGCTGTAGTGGTCCAGGGAGGGGTAGGTGTAGCAGAGGAGGAGAGAGAGACCCAGGCCGAAGGCGGGGGACAGGGGGCTGGAGAGCTGGAAGTGGTCCACAGAGTCCCAGAAGGGAAAGGTGACGAAGAGGAGGAGGGAGGAGATGAAGATGCCGCAGATGACGTCCTGGAGGAGAAAGAGAGAGAGTGGCACAAGGTGAGGGGAGGTTATACTGCATGTGTGCTGTGTTCAGAGAGAGAGACCAGGGGGAGACCAGAGAGAGAGAACAGGGAGCAACCAGAGAGGACAAGGAGAGACCAGACAGAAACCAGAGAAATAGAGAAACCAGCAAGAGAACCAAGAAACCCGGGAGAGAAATAGAGAGAGACCAGGGAGCGACCAGAGAGGACAGTGTGAAATCCGAGGGAGAGAGAAACCAGAGAAATAGAGAGACCAGCGAGAGAGAGAACAGAGAGCGATCAGGGAGAGAAACCAGAGAAAGAGAGACACCAGAGAGAGAGAACAAGAAAAACAAAATCACACAAGATTCAGATTCAGTTTATTTGCCATTTGCAGTAAAAAGTCGTTAAAATCATAAATAATCAGTAAATCAAAGTGAGTGCAGTAAATCCTTCATTTGTTTGCAGCTAAACACAACTGTTTTCAACCTGGATTTAAACATAATCAGAGAAGAAGCCTGTCTCACATTTTCAGGAAGACTGTTCTAGATTTTAGCTGCCTCCACATGTATTTACAACTGAAGGAGAAGTCCCTGTGGTCCTCAGAGTCCAGAGGCATTTTTTTTTTTTATTATTCTGTGGATGTTTTTAGATTTTAAAAAGCTGCTGTTATAACTGCTTTGACCGTGGATTAAATACTTGACAATGAAGGTAAAAACAAAATGGGCCGACCGGTGACTCACCAGGACAGAGTGCATCCCTGTGTAGATGCGGCTCAGACAGACCAGCGACGAAAAGGTCAGCGCCATCAGCAGCCCCACCGCGAACGGGAACTGAGGAGAGACCAGGACCAAGCACTGACATCACGGCTTCAATGAACACATGGGTCTACAGCCTCAGTCCTGGGTCTACTGGGTCTACAGCCTCAGTCCTGGGTCTACTGGGTCTACAGCCTCAGTCCTGGATCTACAGCCTCAGTCCTGGGTCTACAGCCTCAGTCCTGGGTCTACAGCCTCAGTCCTGGAGCTACAGCCTCAGTCCTGGGTCTACAGCCTCAGTCCTGGATCTACAGCCTCAGTCCTGGGTCTACAGCCTCAGTCCTGGGTCTACAGCCTCAGTCCTGGGTCTCTTTATGGACATTGATCTCTGCTCCTTATGATTCATTACTAATGTGTTTTCTGTTTCATTTCTTGTGTTTGAACGAGCTCCTAGTCCCACGGGTCCTGGTCCCACGGCTCCTGGTTCCATAGCTCCTGGTCCCACGGCTCCTGGTCCCACGGCTCCTGGTCCCATGGCTCCTGGTTCCTGTCCTCAGTCCTGTTAAACCTGTAATTTCCTCCCTCACTGAGACTCAGCTGGAGCCCATTGACTCCCAGTTCATCAAGTTTAGTGGTGGGACACAAAGGCAGCAGTGGGGGGGTGTGGTGGGGTGGCATGAGGGAGGTGGGGGGCATGAGGGGGATCTCTGACCTCTGGGGGGACGTGGACACTCGCCCTCAGGCTCCGCTGTGGAGAGATGGCCTTTTATCTGCGGAATCTCAACTATTCACATCAGTACAGTACAGTACAGCAGGAAGGGTCTGAGGCCTGGGTTAGTCTTGACTTTGGGACCAGTCCCTGTGTTCCTCAGAGTCCCAGCAGGAGGCCAGTCCCTGTGCTCCTCAGAGTCCCAGCAGGAGGCCAGTCCCTGTGTTCCTCAGAGTCCCAGCAGGAGGCCAGTCCCTGTGCTCCTCAGAGTCCCAGCAGGAGGCCAGTCCCTGTGTTCCTCAGAGTCCCAGCAGGAGGCCAGTCCCTGTGCTCCTCAGAGTCCCAGCAGGAGGCCAGTCCCTGTGCTCCTCAGAGTCCCAGCAGGAGGCCAGTCCCTTATTTGTATATATTGTGTGTGATCCCTGTGTGCTCTTACCACTGTCCTATATGTGCGATGCAACAACAAAATTTCCCCACTGTGGGACGAATAAAGGAATTCTTAAATTATTTGAGGAAAAATTATTTAATGCATGAAAAACAAGTTATGTAACTGAGCTTTAACAGCTTTTAGTTGATCCTGGTTTAACTTCTTCAATCAGACATAAATCTCTTTTTGTCATTTCACAATTTCTCCTGGTTTAGTCCTGGTTTAGATGTAGACTTGGTTTAGTCCTGGTTTAGATGTAGACTTGGTTTAGTCCTGGTTTAGCCCCTGTAGTGGTGCGTTTATTGTGAACTCCTAGTGTAGAAACTGTGACCGTTTCAAATGCTCCAAAAACAAATCACAGAGACACAGGACTGTATACACCCCCACGATTAAAGAGAGAGACCAGAGAGAGAGACCAGAGAGAGACCAGGGAGAGAGACCAGAGAGAGACCAGAGAGAGACCAGAGAGAGACCAGGGAGAGAGACCAGAGAGAGACCAGAGAGAGACCAGAGAGAGAGACCAGAGAGAGACCAGGGAGAGAGACCAGAGAGAGACCAGAGAGAGACCAGAGAGAGACCAGAGAGAGACCAGAGAGAGAGACCAGAGAGAGACCAGGGAGAGAGACCAGAGAGAGACCAGAGAGAGACCAGAGAGAGAGACCAGGGAGAGAGACCAGAGAGAAACCAGAGAGAGAGACCAGGGAGAGAGACCAGAGAGAGAGACCAGAGAGAGACCAGAGAGAGAGACCAGAGAGAGACCAGAGAGAGACCAGAGAGAGACCAGAGAGAGAGACCAGAGAGAAACCAGAGAGAAACCAGAGAGAGACCAGAGAGAGACCAGACAGAGACCAGAGAGAGAGAGACCAGAGAGAGAGAGAGAGACCAGAGAGAGAGAGACCAGAGAGAGAGACCAGAGAGAGACCAGAGAGAGAGACCAGAGAGAGACCAGAGAGAGACCAGGGAGAGACCAGAGAGAGAGAGACCAGAGAGAGAGACCAGAGAGAGACCAGAGAGAGACCAGGGAGAGACCAGAGAGAGACCAGAGAGAGAGAGACCAGAGAGAGAGAGAGAGAGAGACCAGACCAGAGAGAGAGAGACCAGAGACAGAGACCAGAGAGAGAGACCAGAGAGAGAGACCAGAGAGAGAGACCAGAGAGAGAGACCAGAGAGAGACCAGAGAGAGACCAGGGAGAGACCAGAGAGAGAGAGACCAGAGAGAGAGACCAGAGAGAGACCAGAGAGAGACCAGAGAGAGACCAGAGAGAGACCAGGGAGAGACCAGAGAGAGACCAGAGAGAGACCAGAGAGAGATCAGAGAGAGAGAGACCAGAGACAGAGACCAGAGAGAGAGAGACCAGAGAGAGAGAGAGACCAAAGAGAGAGAGACCAGAGACAGAGACCAGAGAGAGAGACCAGAGAGAGAGACCAGAGAGAGAGACCAGAGAGAGACCAGAGAGAGACCAGAGAGAGACCAGAGAGAGACCAGAAAGAGACCATGGAGAGACCAGAGGGAGAGACCAGAGGGAGAGACCAGAGAGAGACCAGGGAGAAACCAGAGAGAGACCAGAGAGAGACCAGAGAGAAAGACCAGAGAGAGAGACCAGAGAGAGACCAGAGAGAGACCAGAGAGAAAGACCAGAGAGAGTGACCAGAGAGAAACCAGAGAGAGACCAGGGAGAGACCAGGGAGAGACCAGAGAGAGACCAGAGAGAGACCAGAGAGAGACCAGAGAGAGAGACAGACCAGAGAGAAAGACCAGAGGAGGATTTGTTTGCAGTTAATGCTGTAAAAAGTCGATGGTATCTTCTGTGTTCTTTTGAAAGGGACCAGAACCACAGATTGAGGACCACTGCTGGTCTTTGTGAGTGTGACAGACTGGACTCCTGTCTCTCCCACATTGACGGACGGTGACTGCTGGTCCCGCCCACCTACGCCTTTTGTCCAACGGATCACGGAAGAGTCAGTGATTGACAGCTCGGCCACGCCCACAGCCGCCCACTCACTCTGCAGCTACCTCCAGAACCATCAGAGAAGAAGAACTATCGTAGTGAGGAGTCGTCATGGAGACCGTTTACTGATACATAAACATTAATGTGTGATTTTGAATATTACAAACTACATTACTTCACTGTTTGAAGGTTTTTTTAAACAAAGCAAACAGAAAAAAAAATTGTTAGAGAGATCGCCACGGTAACGGATACTGACATAACATGTGTGATTTTCAGAGAGAGACCAGACAGAGACCAGAGATAGACCAGAGAGAGAGACCAGACAGAGAGACCAGAGAGAGACCAGAGAGAGAGACCAGAAAGAGAGACTAGAGAGAGACCAGAGAGAGACAAGAGTGACTAGAGAGAGACCAGAGAGAGACAAGAGTGACTAGAGAGAGACCAGAGTGACTAGAGAGAGACTAGAGAGAGAGACCAGCGAGAGACCAGAGAGAGTTTCCACCGGGATATCAAAAGTGAGTAGAGGTAATAAATCAGGTGAAAAACTGAAAAAGAATTGAGGAAATTACTTACAATTGTATTGATTTAAATCACAGCAGTCAAAATGACGGCTCTGAGAGTTCTTGTAGTTTCAGAATCCTGGGAGTCCTCAAGTGAAGCATAATTCTTGACCATAAAAATGACTTTTCAATGTTTTAAGATGTGTTTTGACTGATGGACTGAATTATCCATTGTATACTATGTGCTTGTGTTTCCACCTGTATCCTGGTGGGGGCGCTGAGCAGGAGCGTGAAGGAGATGCCGGTGGCGGCCATGGCGTGGGTGGAGGGGAGTCCGTACTCGTCACGGTCCTCTAGTTTGACCACAGGAGGCGAGGACGGCCGCGGCAACTTCAGCAAATCCTTCAGGAGCTGTCCCACGTACATCACCAGCTGCAACACACACACCGCTGTTTTATTTCTTATTTTTATTTTGTATGCATTTATTTATTAAAAGTCTTTACTATTTTATTTATTAATGTATCTTTATTTTATTTTTTTTATTTGTTTATTTATTTAATTTTTGATTATTTAATTTATTTATTTATGTTTTGATTATTTTTTAATTATTTGTGTATTATTTATTTACGTATTTATTTGTTATTATTTTATTTATTTTGTATTTTATTCATGTATGTATTTATTTGTTCATTTATTTATTTATTTGACAAAGACAGGTACACAATCAACATGTGAAACACTACAACATTTATAGCCAAGGCTATGATTTGCAAATATCTGTCCCTAGGAGCTATAGCTACGGCTCGTGCAGCAACCCCCCTCCTCCCCGTCACCACCTTGTTATAGAAATCTTTTAGTAGAGCAATCTGAATGAATATAAAATAGTTATAATAGTATAATAGTTCCTCATCAGGGAAGATCGATCTTAAAGCTGAGGTACCTAAATTTCAAATGTTGAAGTCAAATAGTGACTTTGTCTTTTGTAAACCTGTAATAAAATGAGCCAAAAACTTTTATTTGAATCCAATTTGTTACTAACAAATTAACAGACACACAACATTTATATCTTGAATAACAACATTTGTACATTGTAGAGTCGTTAATCAACTCCTCCGACCGTGTTCAGGACTCGATCTATTTTAGAACAAGTCACGGACCTGAGCTTTAATGTTCATCAAAACCTCCAGAGCAAGATTCAGGAAAATAAGATCAAAGTGAAACTGAAACTTACGGCATGAATAAGTGATGAGCATTTGTTGTCCTGGTTCCTACACACACGCACACGCACACACACACACACACACACACACACGCACACGCACGCACACGCACACGCACACACAGCAGAGTTTCCTGTTTCCGAAATCACAGCCACAGAGAGGGATTAGAACTGAAGACCTGCAAAGTGTTTTAGAAATGTCTTCTTTTTCCAAGTGACATTGGACTTCTCTTATTTACACCCTCCTCTCTCCTCCCATCTCCTCTCTCCTCTCCCCTCTCTCCCCTCTCTCTCCTCCCCTCTCTCCTTCCCCTCTCCCCCCTCTCCTCCCTGATCTCCCATGATCCTCTGGGGCAGGCTGGTTATTTAAAGCTGACTCTGTATATTTAATGAAGTCCTGTGGCACAGACAGAGCTGCAGTTTGGAGCTTCATCAAACTGTGACCCCAACCATCGCTATAGCAACGATGGAGCAGATGTTAGCAAGTTTATTTGTATAGCACAGTTCAAACACAGGGCATTAAAAAGAGTTTTGTTGTTTTTAACCTGGATTTGAACATTGTCAGAGAAGAGGCCTGTCTCATATTTTTAGCTGCATTTTAGCTCCATCAATCTGAAACGCTGCCTCCCCATGTTTAGTCCTGACTCTGGGGCCAGCAGGAGGCCAGTCCCTGTGCTCCTCAGAGTCCCGCAGAGTCCCAGCAGGAGGCCAGTCCCTGTGCTCCTCAGAGTCCCTCAGAGTCCCAGCAGGAGGCCAGTCCCTGTGCTCCTCAGAGTCCCGCAGAGTCCCAGCAGGATGCCAGTCCCTGTGCTCCTCAGAGTCCCGCAAAGTCCCAGCAGGAGGCCAGTCCCTGTGCTCCTCAGAGTCCCGCAGAGTCCCAGCAGGAGGCCAGTCCCTGTGCTCCTCAGAGTCCCGCAGAGTCCCAGCAGGATGCCAGTCCCTGTGCTCCTCAGAGTCCCGCAAAGTCCCAGCAGGAGGCCAGTCCCTGTGCTCCTCAGAGTCCCTCAGAGTCCCAGCAGGAGGCCAGTCCCTGTGCTCCTCAGAGTCCCTCAGAGTCCCAGCAGGAGGCCAGTCCCTGTGCTCCTCAGAGTCCCGCAGAGTCCCAGCAGGAGGCCAGTCCCTGTGCTAAATCAACTTAGAAAAGGTTGAGTTGTGAAATCAGATTGTGTTGTGTGTTAAACTGGGGAAAAACAGATCTAAAGAAGTACTGGGCACAGACCAAAACCAAAAATAAATCCAAAATTGGCTCTTCATGTTATTGTGAAGCAAAAAACACATGGAGGCGTTGAACCAGCAGGAGGCAGTGTGACCAATGTCCATAAATGTCTTGATCCAAAGACTTGTGAGGCTTTTCTTTAAAAACTTGTGAAGACGTTCTTATCCTTTTGTGCTTTTATCTCTTCTTTGTCTTTGTTGCACTGTCCTCGTGGAGCATAAATAAAACGTCGTCTTCTCATATTTCTGCTCATTTGACCCGAGTCGGTCCAGAATAAACTCCTTCGTGCACAGTCTATATTCTGTTTCTCTGCCGCTCCTCTGCATTTCTACACACTCAATGTTCCCAGACTCTGCCCTCACAGCACCTCAGAGCTGTGTGTGTGTCTGTGTGTGTGCAAAATATGGACTGATCTGACCTAGAAATGGCTTGACAAAAGATATATCTCAACAAAGACAGAGCAGGGATTTACTGTTTGAGAGAGAGACCAGAGGAAGAGAGGAGGGAGAGAAACCAGAGAGAGACAAGAGAGAGACAGGGGAGGGAGACTAGAGAGAGACCAGAAAGAGAGAGACTGGAGAGAGAGAGAGGGACCAGAGACAGGGATCAAAGCGAGAGACCCGCAAGAGAGAGACCAGAGAAAGAAAAGAGACAAGATAGAGAGAACGAGAAAGACTAGAGAGAGACCAGAGACACTAAAGAGATACCAGAAAGAGAGACCAAAGAGAAAGACCAGAGAGAGAGACCACAGACCTTCTTGCAGTGAAGCCAGAGGGCTAACCACTCAGCCGTCGAGCCGCCAGCCAGTCTCCTTTAGATTTTATTACACAGTTCCATTGTGTGTCATTTCAAAGTTAGGTACCGCAGCTTTAAAGGCAGATCCCACTTGACCCGACGGGAAACTATCTGAACATTGTGTGTCTCTGGGCCTGAGGCGAGAGAGACCGTGATGAGGCCAATAAAACACACACACATTCAGCCTGGTAATGTGTAACCAGTGTGTGTGTGTGTGTGTGTGTGTGTGTGTATTTGATGGAGGTTCACCCAGGGGACTCGCTCAGTGGAAAGCCCAAAGGAATCTTGCCTCAGGGGCAGAGGGAGGGGTCCAGAGCCGGGGTCAGGGCAGAGAGAGAAACCAAGACCACGACAAGTGTCAGAGTGGAATCACGACTTGTTCTGATCAACACAGACGGGAAAGTGTCTCTGGTCTCTCTCTGGTCTCTCTCTGGTCTCTCTCTGGTCTCTCTCTGGTCTCTCTCTGGTCTCTCTCTGGTCTCTCTCTGGTCTCTCTCTGGTCTCTCTCTGGTCTCTCTCTGGTCTCTCTCTGGTCTCTCTCTGGTCTCTCTCTGGTCTCTCTCTGGTTTCTCTCTGGTCTCTCTCTGGTCACTCTCTCTGGTCTCTCTCTGGTCTCTCTCTGGTCACTCTCTGGTCTCTCTCTCTGGTCTCTCTCTGGTCTCTCTCTGGTCTCTCTCTGGTCTCTCTCTGGTCTCTCTCTGGTCTCTCTCTGGTCTCTCTCTCACCGCTGCGTACGGATGATCAGATCAACCAACACTGCACAGTATTAAAACAATGCTTTAATATTATTATTATTATTATTATTATTATCAATTATTATTATCATTATAATAATTTTTATTGGTATAAGACATTTATTTTAGACCTCAAATCCTCTACATATAGACCAGTGTTGTGTTTGCAGCCTTGTTCTGCTCCCGTGTGGCCCCTGCCCCTGTGCCCTCGTGCCCCTGTGCCCTTGGGCCTGAGCACTCTCCGGTCACAGACGGTCAGTGAAGGGATGAAAGCAGGTCCAGAGGTGAAAGAGTGAGAGAGAGAGAGGAAGCTTTGTGTGACAGACCAAAAGCAGACGACAGATTTATCAGTGAGATCAGAGAGAGACGTCAGACTTAAATCAACCACAACCAAGAGTTCCAGTGTCGGACGACGGCTTCAGGTCTCGGACGCTCAGTGGGAGAGAGTTTAGGGGGAAAAGTCCTGGGTCTACAGCCTCAGTCCTGGAGCTAACCACTCAGCCACAAAATTGTTTTTGATACAAAAACAATTTAGCACAAACACAAGAAACAAGGTTTCTTATTCATCCAAAAGAGCATTTAGAAATAATTGCCGTGTATGTAAAAAAAAGTTTTGTATTTTTTTCTAGTATCGAAATGTACTATCAAGATTTAGTATTGAGAAAACAAACATTATGAGCAACTTGAGAAACTGTAGTATTTTTGACGCCTGATGTAAATGTGTGAAACCAAACCAGCACTAAGTAAGTGATCTTTATTTACACAGCGCCGTTTCACAGACACAGGGAAAACACACAAACTCCACTCAGTTCCAACCGGGATCCAAACCCAGGACCTTCTTGCTGTGCTAACCACTCAGCCACCTGCTCTAGACATGAACTAAAGCAGACAGAAAACAGACTGAAAGGAGGTCTTACTGTCCACATGTTGACGAGGCGGCGGCAGAGGAACGGGTCCAAATTCCAGTGGAGCCAGGGCGGGACGCTGATGTAGAAGACCTCACTGCCCAGAGCAGAGGAGACGAGGAAGAGGAGGTGAAGAAGAGGCCTCCTCACCTCATACTCTGGACTGTGCTGATCCTGAAAGAACGTGACATATGTAGCATTAGCATAAGTACAAATATACTACTTAACACACTATGCTACGCTATACTACACTGCACTGTACTGTACTGTACTGTACTATACTATACTATACAAGACGATATGTATTCATGCTCAGGTTATTGATGGGTAAATAACAGTTATTACACACACATACAAACCAATATATTATTTCATTATTTTGACTGTAAGGACACAGACAGACACAGACACACAGACACAGAGACACACAGACACAGACACACACACAGACACACACACACAGACACAGAGACACACAGACACAGAGACACACAGACACAGACACAGACACACAGACACAGAGACACACACACACACAGAGACACACAAACACAGACACAGAGACACACAGACACACAGAGACACACACACACAGACACAGAGACACACACACACAGACACAGAGACACACAGACACACACACACACACAGACACACAGACACAGACACACAGACACACACACACACAGACACACAGACACAGAGACACAGACACACAGACACACACACAGACACAGAGACACACACACACACAGACACAGAGACACACAGACACAGACCCACAGAGACACAGAGACACACACACACAGACACAGAGACACACACACACAGACACAGAGACACACACACACAGACACACAGACACAGACACACACACAGACACACACACACACACACACAGACACAGAGACACACAGACACAGACACAGACACACACACAGACACACACACACAGACACACAGACACAGAGACACACAGACACACACACACAGACACACACACACAGACACAGAGACACAGACACACACACACAGACACACACACACAGACACACACACACAGACACAGAGACACACAGACACACACACACACACACACACAGACACACACACACAGACACAGAGACACACAGACACAGAGACACACACACAGACATACAGACACACACACACAGACACAGAGACACACAGACACAGAGACACACACACAGACATACAGACACACACACACAGACACAGAGACACACAGACACAGAGACACACACACAGACATACAGACACACACACACAGACACAGAGACACACAGACACAGAGACACACACACAGACATACAGACACACACACACAGACACAGAGACACACAGACACAGAGACACACAGACACAGACACAGACATGTTTTCCACATCTGTAGGATCTAGTGCAGATGTGTTTAAAGAGAGTAGTATTAAAATGCAGACATAGAACAACAGAATGGAACAGAAACTGTTCTATAGCCGTAAAACATTTCCTCTGAGGAGGAGGTGGACATTATTATTGTGTCTAAAAATAGACAAATAGAACTTTGCTCTTTTATTCAAGACTTTATTAGGAAATAAATGTTTGGTCATTACAGACGAGGTTGAAAAGTGAGTTGATGAAGAATCAAAATGACACAGCAGTGGTCATCAAATAGTTTTGAAGGAATTTGTTTATAGTTACATTATATTTTTGTTGGAAAAATGTTTATTAACGAACAACAGAAATTTGGTGATTAATCAGATGTAGACACAAATGCAGAATCTAATAGAAAAATAAAAATACAATAATAATACCAAACATGGTAGTAGTGATTCTGCTTCAAATTAAAGGTCTGTGTGGTGTGAAACATGTAGGAATGTTTTAAATGTGGTTGTGTGTTGTATTCTCTCTGTATTAACGTCTTAAACACAGGTGTCCAGCCTGAACTAAAGCAGAAGCATTGATGATGTCGATGTCACGGATGATGTCACTGATGATGTCACGGATGATGTCACTGATGATGTCACTCATGATGTCACGGATGGATGAGAACGTGGATGTGACCTATTTATGATAGGTCAAGAGAGGGATTGTTGTAGAATTAAAATGTTGTATACTAATGATTATCATGAGGTGTTTGCGCAACATGTCTTTGTGCAATATTAAGCCTGGATTTAGTGGAATTCGGACAAGCACCAAGGACAAGGCTTCTGTGATAAAAGTATCATTTTAGACATGAGACCCAAAACCGGACTAGACCAGACTCAGACCAGGGCCTCAGTCGGTCTCATATGACATCATCGGACATTTTCATTAAACTGTTGGTGGGACATTTGGTTGTCAGTCTGAGCAGGGACAGAGAGAGAGGACATGGCAGAGAGCCTGGAAGTACTCTCTCATTTTCAGGCCTGGAGAGAGAGTTAAATTGGCTCAGCTCAGGGTTAGTTTGGGAAATAGAGCTCAGAGAGTTTTATATTAATGTTTAATTGTAAAGATAATAAAATATTGTTTTATATTTAACTCTTGAATGCTTGGTCTTATTTCTGTATCAAATTCTGAGACACGTCCGTCATTTTTTTGACAATGCTCTCTAGTCTCTTTCTCTGGCCTCTCTCTCTGGTCTCTCTCTGGTCTCTCTCTGGTCTCTCTCTGGTCTCTCTCTGGTCTCTCTCTGGTCTCTCTCTGGTCTCTCTCTGGTCTCTCTCTGGTCTCTCTCTGGTCTCTCTCTGGTCTCTCTCTGGTCTCTCTCTGGTCTCTCTCTGGTCTCTCTCTGGTCTCTCTCTGGTCTCTCTCTGGTCTCCCTCTCTCTGGTCTCTCTCTGGTCTCTCTCTGGTCTCTCTCTGGTCTCTCTCTAGTCTCTCACTGGTCTCTCTCTTTGAACCTCTCTGAACCCAAATCATTAAATAGGTCCATATTATAATCAGTTATTACCATATTTGTCTATTATACAATCAATTCAGCGTTATTAATAGACTAAATAAAGTTAATCTATGAAACATTTTTAATATTATTATTAATATTTGGACCAAGGCATTTTTTCAGTGTATTTATCTAAAGAACATAAACAGGCCGTTGCCGGTGGAAGAGAGTTGATGGACAAGAAAAGCCAGTCTCTGTGTTTTGCATTGCTTTGGTTGTGAATTTAAATAGTAGTCAGATAGAGATACTGTGAGTTTAGGCTTTGATATCTCCAATTACAAGTGGGAACAATCACTGAACAGTGGACACAGTCACAAATCTCTCCTTTGGTAAATACACCTGTAATCTCTTTGGTTGGACTGCAGCCCGAGTCCTACAGAACCAGGAAACACCATCACATTAGTCAGTACTCTGTCTCTCTGGTCTCTGTCTGGTCTCTCTCTCTCTCCTGTCTCTCTGTCCTGTCTCTCTCTCTGGTCTCTGTCTGGTCTCTCTCTCTGCCCTGTCTCTCTCTCTGGTCTCTCTCTCTCTCCTGTCTCTCTGTCCTGTCTCTCTCTCTGGTCTGTCTCTCTGCCCTGTCTCTCTCTCCTATGTCTCTCTCTGGTCTCTCTCTCTGGTCTGTCTCTCTCTTTGGTCTCTCTCTAGGGTCTGTGATCTCTCTCCGGTCTCTATCTGGTCTCTCTCTCTGTCCTGTCTCTCTCTCTGGTCTCTCTCTCTGGTCTCTCTCTCTAGTCTCTCTCTCTGGTCTCTCTCTCTGTCCTGTCTCTCTCTCTGTAATTTCTCTCTGGTCACTCTCTCTGGTCTCTCTCTCTGTCCTATCTCTCTCTCCTGTCTCTCTGTCCTGTCTCTCTCTGGTCTGTCTCTCTCTTTGGTCTCTCTCTAGGGTCTGTGATCTCCGGTCTCTCTCTTCAGTCGCTCTCTGGTCTCTCTCTCCGGTCTCTCTCTGTTCTCTTTCTCTGGTCTCTCTCTCTGGTCTTTACCGTCACTAGGAGCAGTCCAGAACCAGCACCAGAGACTTTAACCTCTACAGAAAGTTGTCTCTATACCAGGACACTGAAAATGTCTTAGTTATTTTGTTTTGAATTTTAGTTAAAGGTAGAATAACTCACATCTTTAACAAAACTGATAATAACCGTCAAATTGACTGCTTTGGGCGTTCTAGTGTTAAAGAGTAACTCTTTTACAAACAATACAAGCAGAGATCACCTGACATACCATGACACACTTCCCATTCCTGCTGTTGTCAAATCTCTGCCGCGCTCCACGTGCCTCTCCACGCGCGCCCTGGTCCTGGTCCTGATCCTGGTCCCGGTACAGATCCTGGTTCGAACCATGACGCGTGTGGACCAGGTGGAGCCCGCAGCGCCTCTGGAACCGCGCCACCAGCTCCGAGTCCTGCAGGTAGGCGAGAAAGTCCGAGACCGTACCCGGGAGAGGCGCGCTCATGTCGGTGTGTAGGGAGTGGAAGCTCTACGTGCACGGACTCTGACGCACGGAGCAGGTGCGGCTAGAGCAGGTGAGGCCGCGGGGGAAGGGGGGAGGGGGCGTGGGAGGAGTGTGAGGGAGGAGGGGGAGAGTTACAAGACACTATTGTTTGTGGGTTAATGTCTGCAGGTTTTTCCCTGTTGTGATCATTACGTCATCCAAAACTGAGGATGACGTAACCCATGATATGTACCTGAGCTGTATAGACTGGCCTCCTGCTGGGACTCTGAGGAGCACAGGGACTGGCCTCCTGCTGGGACTCTGAGGAGCACAGGGACTGGCCTCCTGCTGGTCCCAGAGTCAGGGGCAGCATTTCAGATTTATGCAGCTAAAATCTGGAACAGTCTTCCTGAAAATGTGGGACAGGCTTCTTCTCTGACAAAAACAGCTGCAACAAATGAAGCCTCAGTCCTGGGTCTACAGCCTCAGTCCTGGGTCTACAGCTTCAGTCCTGGATACAGCCTCAGTCCTGGGTCTACAGCCTCAGTCCTGGTCTACAGCCTCCTATATGTGTTTGTTATTGCCCTGATGACCAAATAAGCGCTTCCTGCTGCTCTACAACATCAGTTACACGCGGACTCCATTACGTCATCTCAGCCCCGCACGAGCACAGACAATTCACCGGGATCCCGAGAGAGAGAGAGAGAGAGAGAACGAGAGAGGGGTACACAAACACACACATAGAGAGCGAGAGAGAGGGGTACACACACAAACACACACAGAGAGAGATGAGAGACAGTAGGGAGAGATGGAGAGAGAGATAGAGAAAGTGTGTGTGAGAGAGAGAGAGACAGAAAGATAGTGAGGGTGAGAGGGAGAGAGAGAGACAGACAGACACACTAAGAGATTGGGAGAGGCTGAGAGAGAGAAATGATCTGGGGGGAGAGGAGCAGTAGACAGATGGGCGGCAGGAGGAGAGGATACAGCGGAGGACGTGATGCCGCGTGAATGAGCGCACACTGAGGGAGGAGGGGGGAGGAAGGGGGAGGAGAGGGGGGCGCAGACTGCACCGTCATCAGCACCAGTCCTCTCTCTCCTCTCTCTGCTCTCTCTCTCTCTGCTCTCTCCTCTCCTCTCCTCTTCTCTTTGTGTCCGCGCAGGATGTGACCGCCGAAAGATGACATGGCAGAGACCGTAGAGCTACATCCACCTCCCGGGGCCTCCTCCTCCACCTCCACCTCCTCCGCCACCTCCGCCTCCGCCTCCGCCCTGCCCTACGAGGAGTACGAGTGCAAGATCTGCTACAACTACTTCGACCTGGACCGACGCGCGCCCAAGATCCTGGAATGTCTGCACACGTTCTGCGAGGAGTGCCTCCACACGCTGCACCTACGGGAGGAGAGGCCGTGGCGTGTGAGCTGCCCCGTCTGCAGGCACCGGACCCCCGTGCCGGACTACCGCATCCAGAACCTCCCCAACAACACCAAAGTCACGGAGGATTTCCCCCTGTACATAGACTCGGACCCACTGCCTCAGGACGCGCTGCCCCCGTACCCACCCCCGTTACACCCGGCCCTGGTGGCTCTTCGCCGGGGGGACGAGGGAGCATCCTCCGGTGTCAGCCACAGCCACAACTCTGCCTCCACCACCGGGTCCACGGCCACGACCCTCTCCCAGGACTCGGCGCGCTACGACAGCTGCCAGAGTTGCAAACGCGTGGCTCTGACCACCGGGTGTGTGTGCGTCATCTTCTCCTTCCTGTCCATGCTGGTGCTCCTCTTCATGGGCCTCATCTTCGTGCACAGCCACAGCGTCCCTCCCTCCCCCGCGGGCCCCATCTGCCTCTCCGTGGCCAGCATCCTCGCCATGTTCTCGGTGGTGGTGACGTGGCTCATCTGCTGGCTCAAGTACAGACCTGACCACGAGGCTGGACGCGCGTCTGCCACCGGTAACTCCCGTAGGAACGCCTAGACTCTCCCCTGACTCTGTGGTGTACGTGTACGGATGCTGCTGGTGTCTCTATACTTCTGGAGGACAGAGATTTCGCCTCAAACATGGCCTTGTCTCATGCAAAACACCGAGGGCCTTCACGTGGAGCGAATACGTCACTGTTGGATCTATGCGTTTAAAACCTAAATCTGTAGAATGCCAATAATTTGATTAAGAGCCGTCAAAATGACTGCTCAGGGTGTTGTATAGATTCTGAATTCAGGGAGAGGAGGTGCATATAATTTTTAACTGTAGGACCCCCAGAATTATAGAACTCCCACAGCCGTCATTTTGACTGCTCCTATTCGAAGCGATAGAAGTTTAGTTTTTCACCAGATGTATTGACACTAGAACTCCCAGAGCAGTCAATTTGACGGCGTTTAGTTTTGGAAGTGTAAATTCGTGTGTGTTCGTGGTCTTCATAACTTTGTGACTTTTTCTGTTTCTTTACGTCATTATATTTTTCTGAAATTATTGTTTACTTTTGAAATGTGGTGTTTTCTGTCATTTTCCCCCAGAGAATATCAACTGCTAGTTACCATAGCAACCTTGTTTACTGTCACATGTGAGCATTTGCGTTAGCATTTTTTTTTAGCTGTATTTCAGTTGCAGAACCCTCAAACCCAATTGAATGGATTGTACAGGTTTTAGGATTTCACTAGTGTTAAGTAGTTAGCAGTTTGTCATTTATCTTTAAAACATTCTAAAGCTGGTTAATATAGATGAAATATAGAAAAACTAACTGACAAGTAAACAGTTGCTATGGTAACTAGCACCTGCTCCAAATTGAGACGTTTGCTCTGAACCGGTCTGTACAGATTAAGATTAGGATTATTAGGTTTCATTAATTTAATAACATAGAAAGAAACTACATTTAGATACAGAAAAAGTCATAACACAAAATTCTTTTCACTTCCAAAACGAAAAGCCGTCAAATTGACTGCTGTGTGTGTTCTAGTGTTGAAACCAGATTCTCCAATGGGACAAAGCCATTCCGTCTTATTTCAAAAACTGTTGCTTTATTTTCTCATTCCAAGTTGAGACATTTCGGTATCTTTTCAACCAAGATCGTTTTGCTTTGTCTCATTTACAAATCTGGTTTTAAGTCTCAGTCAAAGGTACATTTTTGGCAAATTTGAGCAATTTTTGATTTTTTTTTGCCACTGCAGCGCTGTAGTTGACTGCTCCCCCTACAGGCGGACTGGAGTCTCACACCGGGATGTACATACCTGAACAGAAACCCTGGAATCATGTTTATGTCACTCTTCTGCTAACTTTGGCCTCGCTCTGGTTCAGATCCAACTTCAAACCTCTGGATCCATTTTCCCAGACATGACCGAACCCACTGAACGCTGTTTGAAGCACTTTTTACTATTGTCATTACTGATGCTTACGTGTATCGGCATTGGCGACCGATCACTCTACGCTTGGGACTATTTGATTTATTTATTTATTTATTTATTGATAGCATTGTAAGTGTTTGGAGACTGTGGTAAAGTGCTAATGCCAGAGGACACTGGGTTTAATGGGAAGGAAACTGCTGAAATGACTGCTCTATCTCTGTAGTTTCAGTAAGGAATGTAATCAAAAGAATCTTCTTATATGTGCGAGTCATGTATAAGAAACATATATATATGGAGCATGGGAAAACACTGCCTTAGATGGAAAAAAATTACACGTTTTTGGAGTTTGAACCCCATACAAAGCTCAATACAACACATTTCTTGGCTTTTTTTCGACCCGTTTTCTATTTATGTGTTTATTTTTACCCTCACAAAGAAGCGTGCCACATTTTTTAAAACAATCTTTCTTTTTCGAGCTGCATGAGCAACTTCCGAGGGTCAAAACTGCACTTACCGTATGTATAGGTCAGTGGTTCTCAAGCTGCGTCTATGCAAAAATACTTGTTCATGAAGAAACCGCTTTGCTCTTGCTTCGTCCTGGTTTTGTTTTGCTGCTGTGGTTGTGGATGGTTTTGGCGACTTTTTTAGAATATTCATGTCATTATTGAGGCAAAATATATACGTTTTTGGGTCAGGCTTGAGGCAAACACTTTACATTTCATTGGAGACGATTGAAGACATAAAACTCTAGTAATTTTTATGGAATTTGATGAGACAAAAAGTCCATAAATCCACTCATAAGTTACTTTGGGAGGCATTCTGTGAAAGCATTGTACTGAATTATGTGATTTCGCATCAATCGTCTGCATTCGAGAGACTTGCTCAGAAAATCCCTGTGATCGTCCCTATTCTTTTGTTTTGGATGAATTGGCAAAACAATATTGTGTTGTTGCGAAAACTTGTATTAACTTGTATTGATTATAATCAAAAAAAGTTGATTATAATGAGATGAGAGAAAGAGAGAGAGAGTTGAGGAGTTAGAGAAGGAGGTTTTGGACTATTGTAGTGAAAAGGGAGCAGCGTCTGCACTCAGAGCTCTCTAACAACGGCTCAGTCTGAATTCCCAACCCTCACCTCTGGTCTTAAGCTTTGGGCAATGACCGAAAGAACGAGATTTCAGATACAAGCGGCCCACATGAGATCCCTGGGTGCTATCTTCGAGATAGGGAGAGGAGCTCGGAGTAGAGCCGCTGCTTCTCCACACCGGGAGAAGCCAGGGGAAGACCTAGCACACATCGGAGGGACTGTGTCTCTCAGCTGGCCTGGGAACACCTCAAAATTCGCCCAGATGAGCTGGAGTTAGTGTGTTAAAACTGCTGCCCACGTGACCTGGCACCCGATAAAGCAGAAGAAAATGGATGGATAATGTAACAAATATAGCAGACGATAGCACAATATGTCTTCTTTAAGCCTTTGTGGAACCTACACGATCATACCATTTGTATTTTTCTTTGCAAAACAGCACCTTCCATAGACTTCCACAGACTTTCAAAACTACAGTTTGAGCAGTTTGTAAAAATGTGTCCAAAAGTGGTACTGCAGCCTCTCCCACTCACCCTGACTCAGGTTGCCAGATATGCAGACGAATCCAGCTGGGACCATAACAGCTGAATAGACAAGAGTTTTGTCAACAACAAATCTATAACCAACATCTTTTTCACAAAGATAGAAATCCTGGTTTTATTCCTTGTTTTGTCGTTAATGATTTGAGAATCATAACGAGAGCTTTTTTTAGTTCTGTGCCACATGGTACTTTACCACATGGTACTTTACCACATGGTACTCTACCACATGGTACTCTACCACATGGTACTTTACCACATGGTACTCTACCACATGATACTTTACCACATGGTACTTTACCAGTGAGATTAGCTCCACGCGGTGAGTTCTGGCAACCGGATCACAGACTTTCTGATTGGTGAAACGATGGAGGGCGGGACATCGAAATGAAAACAATAACAAGATTTAGAGGCTGGAAAAGTAATTTAGTAATTCAAGTATCTCTGAACTACTGTGATCAGTTAAAGAAGTATTGGGAAAGAGCAGTTTATTATTGTGACAGATTAAGGCCCTTCAATGACGACTGGACATGAAAATCTTACATGTTACTACTTTACATAGAGTAACAGGGTTTTTGCATTGGATCAGTTTGGAAAGCCCTGGCCTGAGTTTTTCTCTTTTGTCGAGTTTTATAGATATTTGGACAATCTCGACTCATGTGCCTCTCCTACACCTGCGTATATGACCACACAGCATCCGAAAAACAGGTCCCTTAGCTTTAATTTCACTCAATACTTTGCAACTGTATGAAACCCAGCATTTCCCAGTCGTAAATATTGTGTCTAAATCATGAAAGTTACAGATCAAAAGTCTCTTCTGATTGAGTTCTATGATCAAACAGGACTGTATCAATCCAACAGACAAGTATTAAAATATGTCTTTAAACGTTATGCTTAAAGCTGGGGTACGTAACTTTCAAACCGCAAGATTTTGGGCTAAATCTCTATTTTTTTGCCATATCTCTCAAAACAGTTTAGTTCTATCTACAGTGTATGTGTTTTTGGCCTCCGTCATACCCTTAGATCTGCTTTTTTAGACTGAGAAGTGAAAAATAGCAGCCTACCCTCACTCGGCCAATCTCAGCCCAAAGGGTCAAATAGTGACTCACAGGGATACTTTTTTAAACCTATGCAAAAGAGAAGAGGATAGATACTAATCTTTGCTAATCCAATGTCTTTGTTTGATGTTTCTTTTGCCAGTTTTTGCCGATACATATTTATTCGGTAAAACACAATTCACTATAACTCCCAGAGCAGTCAATTTGACGGATTTTCGGTTTGGAAGTGTAAATACTCAGCTGTACCTTTAGGGATGACACAACTTTGTGACTTCTTTCTGTTTTGGAATGGGCTCCAGCTTTTGGTCAAATCAGCTTCTTCTGCATTCGCCAAAAAAGGCTGTATTTACGAAGTGTTTTGAAATAGCCCCTCCCCTTGGAAAAAACCAGGACCAATCAGATCAGCTGGAGGAGAATAGTTCGACCAAGGGCAAGGATTATGACACATTTCCAATCAGGAAGCTGTAAGGGTCTGACTGTTGCCTGAGTCTCTCCCACTCTCTCTCACTTAGTCCCTCTCGTAGTCTCTCTCTCTCTCCCTCTACCAGTCTGTCTCTCTCTCTCTCGCTCTCCCTCAGTCTCTCTCTCAGTCTCTCTCTCCCTCTCTCTCAATCTCTGTCTCTCTCTCTCTATCTCTCTCCCTCTCATTCTCTCTCTGTCTCTCTCTCTCTCTCCCTCTCAGTATCTCTCTCCCAGTCTCTCTCTTTCTCTGTGTCTCTCTTTCAATCTCTCTCTCTCTCAGTCTCAACAAGACAAGACAAAACATTTGAAAAGTTACTAAAATTCAAAGTAATTTATTTCTGTATCTCCCTAAATCATAAAAGTCGTCATCTCTTCAGACTTTACAGAGCTGTCAATTCACCAACAACAGATTAGAGAATCAAACACAGAAAACGCATTGATAAAAACACACAGAGCCATTGGTCCATGAGGAGCCAAAAATGTCCAAACAATTTAAA